TCCTCATTATAAATTAAAAATATTTCATTATCTGTAAAACAAAAGAATCAATGTATTTATGGTGAGCATATGGTGAGGGGAGCTTGTGAAGCAAGATTTGCTTTTGATTCTACGCTGATCTGACTCATGGCAGGAGACTGTAAATTTGAGTCACTTTTGCAAAGATCAAACAGCATTTTCAAGAGTTTTATTTCCTTTGGGGAAGTAAAAATAAGTGCAGCTCATATAAATACAATACAGGGGAATAAGAGCACATAAAATACATTATTACAGCTTTAAAAATGTTAGCACTATCATGGAATTTTTATGAGTATAGTGGATTTTATTTTTCTAAATCCCTCCTGAAATACACATTTCTTTCAAGATTTTTAAAAGAGATCTTACTGAAAATTTGGAAGTTTGCCGTCATTTCATGCACTGTGTATAGATTTATCTCATGTTACATACATCTCCACAGAGCTGCATTTGTGCTTAGTATGGTTAGTGAGTGAGACTTCTGTGACTCTTACTTCTTCTGTAATTGGCATGTTCTGTTATGGTTTGGGGGTTTTTTTAGGATGAGAAACTGTGGAATAGTAACTTCTTATCTTGCCTTGTTCCAGTATCCTCTCATTAGTATGTCTGTTATAAGAAGTCAACATAATACACACAATCATTTCACAAACATCCTCACAAGAACCACTACTGGCAGTATATAGAGGTAAAGATACTACAGGTGTGTGCCTGTGCATCGCTATGGAAAGACAATATGTGAATGCTAAACTAGTTAGTTAACACTCCCAAAGGATTATAGGCGGCCTAATTTAGCAATCCATCAAGCCAAGTGGGCCCTTCTGCAAAGGGCTGCCCAGTACTGCAGTTGTGCTGCCAAAATGTAAAGCAGGTCGTTCAGTGTTGAGTATCGATCTGTGAACACAACTGCCTGCTTTTCAAAACATCAGGTAGTGTACAGCTCCCACTGGGTTTGGGTCGTGGGGGAGTGAAATCTGAACTACAGGGAACATTCTAGGACCTATGGGACAGGAGGGCAAGGCTTTGCCCTCAGTACTCTGTGCCTCAAATCCCCATCTGGAAACAGAGATGTAGCATCCCATCCATATCCATCTGAGAGAATAACCACATTAGGGACAGGGAGACAACCCTCCAAACACTAAAGTTTTAGAGCAAGGGTAGGATGTTAGGGCACAGCCAATGTTGAGTAGTGAACAGAGCAGAAAATATTTGGGGAATTCTGGGAAGCTATGACCACAATAGTGCTTGTTAGGATATCTGTATTTAATGCTTGAGCTCTCCCAAAAAGGTCCTTTACTACTTTGACCAACTTAGTAACCAATTAGTAACCTATTTGCAACCTTAGTTTCACTTCTTCAGATCTAAATTTGCAGCTAAAACCTAGGTTCTTCTTTCTTTGTCCTTTTAGACAAAAAGTTTTAAATCTTACTAAATACTTCTACTTCTTACTGCTAACTAAATAAGTGCTTTGTGTAGTGCACTAAGTTTCAGCTATTGCCCCTTGTAGTATTTTTGGGTCTAATATGATTTCTTGCTGGAAACTGTGAGGTTCACGCTTTGGCTGTCACTTGGGTTTGGGTCCCAGTTCACAGAGCAGAGGGGGGATCCCCCAGGCTATAGCTGGCACAGTGCACACAGCACAGTGCCAGCTATTGGAAGCTGTGATTTGTACCCCACTCTTTCACAAATCTAATGAATTGAAGGATAAACAAAAAATGTCCTTGAACCTTATCACCATCCTTAAATCAAAAAGGAGCTCTGATCTGTCCTTGGTTAACTTCAGAGCCTTAATTATGCCTCTCACCCTTACTTTGAGAGCCACAGTGGTTATTCCGGGGCTGTTCTTGACTCTGACTCTTTTAATATGTTTTTCACTGTCATCTGCTCAGCCACATCTCACATAATCCACAAGGTTCATCTCATCCCACACAACCTCATCCTAAGGCTAGGAGATACACATACAGCACCTTATTTAATTCCCTTCTCTTACTTTTTTCATAACTCTGTCACATATACAGACAAGGACTATGGAGCACACTGTGAAGTCCATCTACTTCACAGAGTGGATGTAACCAATAATTAAGCTGTATCCAAAAGGAAATCTTAATCTGCATACATAACTGTGTCCTGACTTCTCATTCCCAGCTTTACTCCATCTTGATTCTTCCCCTCTCTTTAAAAGTGAACCAACACCTCAGTATCTGCATTTTTTTTAAACTTCTGTGGACCACTCCAGTTAGGATTAGTATGAAATGCAGGGCAGTCAAGCTGTGTGAAAATCTTAAAGAGCCTGAGAAACAAGCAAGACAACAAAAACGCCCACTTTCACATCCATTTTTGCAGGGGATAAAAAACAGAGACTCACCGACTGTCTGAAAAGCAGTATGAATGAAAGAGAGGAAAACTAAGAATATAGAAAAAGTCAAGTGTTTCATTTCTTTCTTCTTGTTCACAAAGAGATGAGCTGAAAGTAATTGCTGCAGTAGAGATCCTTAAGGAACCAGTTGGTGCTGGCTTCTCAGTTTTGGAGAGTTTTAGTTGAAAGAGAAAACTCTGAGCTCTAAATAAGGACATATCCTGTCATGTGGTATTTTGGAATCTATAAATAGTTTTAAAATCCAAACTTTGCATCTGAAAGTGGAGTTTCCTTCTGTTTGAATTCAAGTGGCAAAATTTAAACAGTTCAAGATAATTCTGCTGAATTATTTTTAACTTTCTTGGATCTGCTCTGGGATTGTAAAGTTCAAACCCTCAAAGACAAATAAGTGAGGAGTGCACTTTAGATGGATGTATTTTAAATCTCCTGCATACATACCTGGGAATCTCAGAAAAAAGTATATGTAAATTTCTTGGCTAGATAGGTCTTCACTACTGTGAAAGATGTATTCGTTTAATTTGATGCACCAAGCAACGCAAACTATTTCAGTGTGAAAAATTAACCCAGACAGGACAATTTAATTTTGCTTGACAAACTGGGCACTATTTATTCACTTGTCTTTTATCTTTTCCAATTTATCAACTGGTAAAACTACTGTGCTGTTATTTCATGGGAATTTATCTCAGGAGAACCAGTAAAAATTAGCTAAATCTTTACAAATCTTTCTGCTAACCAGTGATTTTGACAAAAAAACTGCCTTTCAAAATTATTTAATGCATACAGTACAAATTAATTGCAATACTTAATAATTCTTTTTTTGTACCATGTATAAATGAGACAAGCAAAGAGGAATCTTCTGTAACATTACAAATGAGCTGCAGCCCTTTATTAAGTGGTAATCAACTTCAGCTATGATGCAAAAACTCTTACTTGTTTTGAAGGAAAAGGAGGAGGATATTCAGCAGAAGTTGCCCTTAGAATTTTCTCCCTTTTCATGGTTTATTATGAAGACAACTTTCACAATATATTCTGCAAGGGCAAAATATCATTTAATGTGAGAGAAAAAAAAACATTTACAAAGTATAGGGTCTTCAGATCTGTGTTACCTATATCAGCTACGAAAGATATCCGAATTATAAATTGTATCATTTTTGAGTTTGAGGTTTTTTTAATCTGTTTACTCTTTTCATTTGTCTTGCCTTTATTGCTAGCCATCAAACAGCACCGAATCAAATTCAGTGTCAGTATATACAAAAAAGATTATGTGTTGTAACTTACATGAAGGAAAAAGAAAGGTGTAAGATCAAGGGTACTGTCAGTAAAAATAACTTGAGTACAGAATTCCTTTCATTCCTTATCCTCTGCAATATATTTTGTTTGACTGAAATATCTACAAACCAGCAGTTCAATGTCATGGGAGTCTCTCCTTCCCAGTGATCTCTCCTATACAGTTCTTATGTACTTTCTAAGGATCTGTTTTTCTCAGAGATTATTGAGGTATATATTTTTTTTTTCAGTCTGTCATAGACAACATAGAATTCATAGAAAACTTAAAAAGCACAATAAACCTCTAAAGCATTTCTCTACCAAGACACGGTGGTATGCCCCACTGCCCTACTGGCCTGTAGCATAGATACAGTGCTCAGTTGTCAGTCCATTTATCAGAGATTTGGAGGACAGTAAGAGAAGACATCCTAAAATGAGCGATCAACTGAAATAAAAACTAGAATGGATTCTTCCAGCTTTCTTTGGTATCCACTTTATTTTATAGTTTATTTATGTTTATTTTTAGTTGTATGCCTTGTTCATGTTTCTGTGTTTCCTCCTGTTAGCCTTTCTCTTAAGGGAAATGACTCATTAGATCACCAAACCATATAACTTCTCTGCATGCTCATTAAACAAGACTGAAGTATTATTAAGTAAAATGTAGATCCTTTATTGATATAGTCTCATATTCATCAATGGTACAAAAATTTCAAAGTCATAGAATATGACAGAGTATTAGCAAAATTTACTTGTTTTGCAAAATCCAAGTTGAAGCCATGAATGAAGGACGAGTATTTGCATCTCACTTGTAATACTATGACAAGCAAGATACTTGTGTAAAGCATGCAAAACAGGGGCAATAATGGGGAAAAACAATTCATGTAATTCTATGCTTATTCCAAACACTATTTTACTTGAGTAATATCATGCACTCTTCAGTATGCTGTGATAAGGTATATTCTCAAAGTGTAGGTTTGGGGGCTGAGTGCTCTGCAGAGAGAATGCTCACTTTACAGCTGCTCTTGACTCACTATGTGATGCTGCCACAAATCTCTAAGAAGAAAGAAGACTAGGGTATTAATTCATAACTTTTAAATCTTAATCCACAATAGTTCTTGCTATTTTTCACACCATTTTATATAGTACTGAGTCTTAGTCCTGAGAGTATTTCTTGAAGAGCATAGAACAATAGTTCTTAATCCATACTAAAGGAACAATTGCTAATTTTAGTCCAGAGTCTGTTTGTTAGCTGCATGTAACTTTTACTAAGATTTCCTTTGTTCCAGTGAGATTTTTTTTTTTTTTTTTTTGAAGCTTAACCATATAGTTTGGCTGTGTTATCCTATTAGACAATGCTGTGTTCAGTTTTTTCTTTGTCTCTGGTAGAAGCATTTTCATCGTCCTTTCCTGTTAGGACACGGCTGTACTGAAGCAGTGTGTTGCGCCGCCTTGTTTCTCTTTCAGTCTCACATTGAGTTTTGATCTTGAATAAGAAATAAATCATGAAGCCCACGCCTAATAAAATTATGAGGACCAGAGTAATTAGTATCCACATATTCATGTGACCATGTACTTTGTCCTTTTTGGCATCTGTAAAGAAGTACAAAGCAAATAGATGTGAGCGTGCTGTAGTCATAAACAAATATGAAGAAAACTGAAAACTATTGGTTTAATTTCCTCCTTAATTACCAGGTTGTTAATCAGCAACCCACATTTATGAAGGAAATGGAAAACGACCTCAATATCTCCTGGCCTTCTTCCATTGTTCTCTTGGGGCAAGGATAGGAAGGTGGTTAAAGAAGCTATGATAATTAAGGTGTAGATATTATTGTATGGGGGTTTTTTAGGATAAAAGTTTTATTAAAAGTCTGTCTTTGTGTCAGTCCTCCTCAGAGGTCTTAGCATCCAAAAGAAGGAGCATAGAGTGGGTACTCAGTTTACCAAATCCTAGTTATGCTAGGGTGCCCCGAGTGTCTCGTATGTACTGCTAAATTATGCCGGGAATGAATTAAATGGCAACTAAGTAAATTAAGCTCATATAAATAAATATATAAAAGATAAATAAATAATAAATATAAATTCATAAAAAAACCCCAAGTATTTCTTTTTGCATCTCTTTGAAACTATTGGGAAAGAAAGATAAATCCTACCTTCCACGTTTGCAGCTGCTTTAAGAATAGCTGCCAAAGATAAAGACAAATGTTTAGTCAAAATCTAAAAAGATCACATTTTCGTACTGACAGTTTCATGTCAGCAAAAGGTCTGGTAACCTGTGCATTAAGATTATCTCATCACTACTCCTGGAAACACATTTTCTAAATTAACAGAGATGAAAAGGTGTGATAGATTTTTAACCTGATATTCACTGTAATAAAACTATAGTGTTTTGTATATTAAAGTCTTGCTTCTTTTTTAATAATCAAAGAATCTATAAGCAGAAATGTTTTCTGACTGTTTTAGATGGACTCTCTCTTCTCCCCTGGTTAATAAATCTTACCCCTTTCACTGAGTCTATATGCCTGCAGGGACTGGGAAAAACTTGCTCAAACGCTGAGGCTATTTGACAGTTTTCCTGTACTGTATACAGTTCCTTTGAGACCCAGCAGATTTTGATTTACCATAATTCGTTTGCGTCTGTAATTGCATTTATAAGCTCAAGATTTCTTATGCAGTTTTTCCCAGCTGTGCAAAGAGGGCACCATCTGCAAGGTTTTTCTCAGCACGCCGGGTGCAAGCTGGATGATGGGCAGTGCAAGAGGAGCTATTCCCTATGGACAGCAGGAGCTGCAGGGAGAGCTGGGGTGAACATTCCAGCCTAGGAAGCACCAGGAGCTGGACTGCTGCAGCAGAAGCGCAGCAACACATTAAGCTCCAGTGTGTTTGCAAGCACAAAGGAAATGCAAGTGTTAAATTGCTGCTTGGAAGGATGCACAGCTCACTGGAATGTAAGATTGGCTTGTGCTGAAATCCCATTCTGATGGAGAACCTGGTGTCAGGGAATATTCTCTGTACTTTGGCATTGCCTGTAGTGGCCACTCGCAGTCAAAGCCAACAAATGAAGTACATGTTGACAGTGAGTTTCTGCTTTCTGATGTGTCTGGTAACAAAGAATTAACTTTCTGTAGTGTCTATTGCTCTGACTACCCATGAAAATTTAGGAGCTGCCCTAAAAGGAGAATTTTCCTTTTCAGAAAATACTCTGACACTGCTATGAATGTGTATGGCTGCTTTTCCCACCAGCTGTAACTTTGCTTTGAGAGGGGAAAGGGCAGATCCTCAGAAACAGCCTAAACCTTGGGGTTGCAAAACAGGACAGGAAATCATACTTTTTTGCGGAATTAACAGTTAAACTCAAAAATACCACATGACTATTTGGCTCACAATATTCTGATATTTCTACTTCCTGACTAAAGCAGATGGTGCTCAGTTACACAGAAACACAACATTAAAAAAAAGAAAAAGAAAAGCTAACTAAAACACTTCTACTATTTTCAAAGGTCACTATACATGCTCTGGATCATGCTTCCGTTCTGTTATTTTTTAAACAGAATTGCTTCATCCATCTCTTACTGGAACAGCATGTGCCAGTACAGCAGGAGGAAGAAAAGCAAATTATTGATGCAATTCTTGTTCCACAGAAATTGAATAGGAATGTTAGCAGGAAAATATGTGTTTAAGTTGGAGGGGAGCAAAATGAAAAAGGAGTTAAAAAAATTTCCAGAAAATATTGATTATCTTTAGTTATTAATTGAATATTCATCACAGAATGCAAGAAAATCTGAAGTTATGAAGCAATAAAACATGAACAGAGCATACAAAAAAAAAGGATAACTATATGTTCACATTATTTTTGTCTGAATGCTAAGACAGGTGATAAGGAAGACTGTATAAGACAGCCTTTTATGCTGGTCTTTTGTAATGACCATATGGTACTATTACTACTGAAATAAAACCATAAACATCAAGAGCAAATATTAAAGAAGTCACTTACTCTTTGGTTTCTTACAAATAAAGCCCTTTTGGGAAGAGCAAGGAAGGATACTCCAGTAGCCAGTGAACGCAGACAACTCCACGCAGTAATCAAGCTGGTCCTCCGAGGGCTGTCCTTCACCCCAGTTGACAAAGTCTAAGGGACTGTTGTCTTGCCAAAGCAGCTGCCCTAATGTTTCAAATCTTAGTATCAATACTAATAGTTTTATATCAAAGATCTTTACTAATACTAGTGAATATAAATATTAATATTATTACTTTACTCAGCCTAATAAAGCAATAGTACTTTCTTCAAAAATTCCATCTGTGGTTATTTTCTAATGCATTTTTTATTTTTAAAAACAATTGCTTTTCCAAATTATGATTTGCAGATTTGCCAATCCTAACTTAGTTTTAATTTACATATCCCCATATATTTGTCTAGGCTCCTAAAGTTTCAAACTGAAAAAAAGTAAAAATAGGCTTTGAGTTTTTTAAGTCTAAATTATTATTTCAGCAGCAATCACTGGAAATCAAGCCACCTTTACTGTAACACTTACACGTATGCTTAGTTAAAATTAAAACATTTCTTTTTTGCATTAACTCCAAAACAAAAATTTTGAAGTAACTATGAGTTAAAATGAATCTAAATAAAAAAAAAATCCTTTCTGACTGATCATGGATCGACACTAGTGTTGTTTTCTTCCAAGTGCATGTTTTCCACTGCACTATTTTTCTGGTAGCTAGCAGCCCAATTTTTTTCCATACAGAGATACAGCTCGATGCTGTGGACTCCAGTTGGACACCTGAAACTCCCAGGCAGGTGTTCCCCAGATGTGAGAAGACAAGAACCAGGACCATTTGAATTTAGAAATGAGGCTGCATGATTGCCTTAGGTATGGACAGCCGACATTACATGTTACATCTCGCTTTCTTAAAGAATAGTACCTTAAAGAATAGTACTTAAAGAATAGTACCTTCTGTGTTGCATCACTCAAGAGATAGTCCTATCACCTCTCCACATCTTTGCTACTGAATCAGATATAGAGAAAATATTTGAATTAAGGCAGTCCAACGTGGTGGCATCCCTTTGGTGGACCCATGCAACACCAAAGACCCATAACTGAAGCCAGGCAAATTTATTTTCTACAGCCTTTCACATTTATTGGATAAAACCATAAAATTTCAATAATTTTTAGATTATATGCTATCAATCTATCTTTTTTGATTTTAACTAGCTTCTATTGTACATCAATTAGTTCCTTAAAAATAGCAATGTATCTTAGTTATATTTCTGTCCATTTAATGAGATCTATTTATGATTATTTATAGAAGTTAAAATAGAAGTTACCATTTACGTTTCTGTATATTCCTATCCAGAAGGCACTTGTCTTGCTTGTGTATAAGTCTGCATGCTCTACTAAAAAGTTTGATTCAGCCAGATCTTCTACAGAAGTCAACATACCACCTATAAGAAAAGCAACAGAAGATGATTGGAGGTATCCCCTGCCGTAGAAATCAGTGGTAGTTACAGCCTTTGATAAAGGATAAAATTAATAAGAAAACCTCTCCTGCTCTTAGGGAGTAAGCAAGGATTTAAATGGAGACCAGAAAGTAGCGTTCAGCTGTAGGGGAATAGCACAGACTGTGAGTGATGTCAGAAATGAAAGACATGAAAGTACAGTGAAGATGATGATTTTTAAACACTAGGCAAAGTGCACATAATTTTCAAGTGATTGGATAATATTTTTTATAGGTATTATGGTTGATTATTTATTCTTCATGGTTTGTCAGGATATTATGTTGCATGTAATATTGCACAGCAAATAAAGTTGCGATTCAAACTGAAGTATTAATTTTTCTGGCAGTGGTAGTGGAGGAAGAGGGCTAAGAGGATCTAAAAAGATACGAAACAGAAGGACCCATTTCTTTTGGGCAGTGTAGCGCTTCCCTTTCTCTTTCATGGCCTCCTGAAGCATGGATGAGGTGGCATAGGTGGAAGAGGGCCAAGGAGCAGCTCATGATCTTGGCCAGGACCACATGCCTCCGAGCTGGGGGAGAGAAGCTCTGTGAGCTGCCAGGAAGGACTTTCAGGCAGAACACGCAACCCTTTTCAATTCGCACACCCCATGTTAAAAATAAGTGATGATTATTATGATATTTACTTCTGCTCTTCTGTAAGGAGGGATATGGAAAAGAAGGGGTAAGACCAGAAAGAAGTTAGCCCATCTTAAATAGATAAATTTTGTGACTGAAGAAATATAATAAGAAACAAGCAGAGCTAGAAAAAAAACAAGGAAAATTGATGACCTTAATTTCACCATAACTGAAAAGCAAACAGCATCAATGGTGAAAAATAAATGAGACGGGGGGGGTTTTTTGTTTTTTTGTTGGTTTTTTTTTTTCATGTGTAGATTTTGAAGCATTAGTTTTCAAGACATTTTAAAGGTTTTTTTTTTTTTTTAATTAAGATTTAAATCCTATCTTTAGGCAAAAAAACAGTTACCTGATTGAACGCACCGAGTCACAGACTGAGCCCAGTTCATTTCATTGGCATTGAAGTTATAGCAGTGGCTTCGGAAAGGAATCCAAGATAGGTGATCTGATTCAGGACATTTTCCAATATCCTGTGGGGGATCAGAAGGAAGTACATCTAGAAGAAATGAGATATTATGGATGCTTTCATTCAGTAGGGATTGCAGTACTTCAGATATGAAATCAATTTTTTTTAAAAAAAAAGAAAAACAAACAACCCACCCCCTTAAAAAAAAAAAAAAACAAACAACCCCCCCCCCCCCCCCTTTTTTTAAAGGTACTTAAAATATTCTTTGGCACACAGTGCTAGGATGATCAGTGACTATTTCAAGAGAGATAATGAGGAGCAGAACCTCCCAGTCACATCTGAATGATTCAGTGTGAGCCTGTGCTCTTCTGTGTTACCAGCTAAATAAAACTTGTACTGTCTCAAGAATATTTGAGTGTTCAGAGGGTTTTGATAGTAGTTTATTTTTTTATAATCAACAAATCTGTATAAATAAAAGATGTAGTAAAAAGCAGAAAAAGAAAAGACAGAAAACTCCCAAACCCTCAAGAAGTTCAAATAACAATTTGATTTTAAACAAAATATCATCTAAATCCTAGTTTACTATGGAAATTTCCCATTTAATATTTTCCTCAAGATAATAATCCTTACATAAAATTTTTGAACAGCTTTAACTCTGACAAAATAATCTGAAGCTCATTGAATATCTATGTTGTAACCCCTTATTTTTCCTGTAAGCAATAACATTATGGAATGAAACAGTAACACTATCACTTAGTACATGCATTTTTTTACAAAAAGTTGCAAATGAATAGATAGAAAGATCAGAGCATAGCCTGGAAAATAAATTAAAGAAAAACTACACAAAAAAACAGATCAAAGGAAACTCAGAACTTCCATTAACTCTGGGTCACAAGAGCTAATAGTGATCGCTCTAATACAAATGAGAAAGCAAAAACCTTCAGTCCCATCCTAAGGTTTGTCTGCAGCTTTTAATTTGTGGTATTCCTCAGTGACACCCATAGAATCAGTATGAAGTTTGAACTTTTGTTTGGGCCAATAACAGACTCTGGTTTTTTTCCCAGATGCAACTCTTTCCTTTTCCCAGTGTTTAGGATCTAGTAACAGTGAAGCTGTAACCAGTGTATAAACGATCTTTATGTTGAAGAAACAAAATTTATTTTATACTCGGTGTACTTTGTTGATTAAAATCCTCCCCACAAAATTCCTGTCAGCAAAAATGTTTCACATTCTAGACGCAAAGCAAAATGTTTAGTACTCCCACAATCTCTATGTTCTGTCTGCCTGAGACGTAGGAAAACTCCTACTGCAATTATCACCCCAGTGCAGGAAAATGACAGTATCTTGACTGCTGAATGACAACTCCATCAAAATAAAACATTGTTCATGCAAAAGAAAAGAATTGACATTATATATTCAGGCTCACCATTCCTTAATATATACTTATAAATTTGTATTTCCATCAAAGCAGATTGAGCAAGGTTTCTGCCATAAAATCAAAAGTCACCACCATAGCTTACCCTCAGATTTTTTGCAGACAGGAAAATGTTTTTCATTACAAGGTGCTGTTTTCCAGGTCCCACTGAGATCTAGATACACACAGGCTATTTGCTGTTTTGGTTCTCCATAGTACCACTTAGAAAAAATTATTTTCCTTTTATCGGTCCATCTGTAATAGCCATAACTCTGAAATTGAAACAGACATTTGACATTTTTTCTACATTCTCATCTGTTGTTTCAGGTAAGTGGATTTACACAAATGCACATTTTCACAGTGATATATAGACCTCAGTTTGTATATCTGTGCTAATAGTGTTAAAATATTAATTGAACCAGGACTCAGCAACATAAAAGTAAGACACAGCAGTATGCCTCCCATGCTGAAACAGCCCATTAAGGTGTTTTGAGGGCTAAATGGTGCTTCCTGGGTGCTGCTAGTGCTCATTCCCTTATCAGGCAACATTGAGAGGTGGAATCACCATCCCAGAAGAGTCAGGTCACCATGCGGAGCAAAGTGACCACAGGAACATGAAACCTGTGGAAAGTGCAAGTGGAAGTGGGTCTCAGAGTTGGCTGTCAAATAAGGACTCTAAGCTCCAGTACAATTCTGAGAAGAAACATTCAGGAGTAAAGTGCAGCTATCACTATGAAAACTCTGAGAAAATTATTAGTTTGTTAGGAGCAAAAGATGAATACAGAGGAGCAGGAATTCTTGAGTCTTTCTTTAGTTTTCTACTCCTCGCCCTTTTTTTTAAAAAAAAAAAAAAAAATTCTGAGGAAGAATCAGAAGAATTACAAGGAAAAGATAACAGTATATTGCTGACATGAAGAACTGAGGAGAGTTAGAATGTGATCCCACTCCAAAGTCTAGAGGTGTCAGAAGCCCAGGTAAGCAAGCCCCATCAGGGCAAGATGCTGCCTTGGGAACAGGGGGAATGACAAAACCTTACTTTGCAACAGCAGGGCTGGCTCATTTGTAAGGATGAGGAGAACATGGCTTGATCATAATGGAATTTTAACTGCTTTCTAAACCATGTTTCCATGACTGTAAAAACAACCAACTCTGATATTAAGTGAACTTAAACACCATTATTTTGTTTTGGATAGATAGGGACTTGTACAAGTGGAAGGATTTGTGTCATGAAATCATAGAATCATAGAATGGTCTGGGTTGGAAGGGACCTTAAAGATCATCTAGTTCCAAACCTCCTACCATGAACAGGGACACCTTCCACTAGAACAGGTTGTTCAAAGAGCAAAGGGTCAAAGCCTGTCCTTGAACACTGCCAGGGAGTGGACATCCAGGTTGGTAACTACCAATCACTTATATATTCTAAGACCAAACATTTTGTCTGGTAGGGAGAGGCACTGTTAAAATCATGGAAACACATACTGTTCGACAACAAGCTAATTGTCTCAGATGATGTAGCCTTCTAGGAGGCTTTATCAGAATGCTGCTGCATCATACAATCAGAAGCACTATTTTTGCACAACATTTATTTGAAGTTCTCTCTAGGGATACTGAATGTCAGACATGTTTTGCTATGTTATGTATCAGTGTGGAATCTCAATTAGTAAAAACAATCACCAGTTAAGAAAATTATTACTGATGAAAGACCTCTTTTTATTATCAAGGTAGTTTAGTCAGCTCAAGGAACAATGCCATCAAAATGTGATAGTTAAGTGCATTGAGCAACTGCATAGTCACTACAGAAGTCAAAGCTCATTTTGGCACTCGGTGACAGAGCTAATAAGACCAGTGCTCATTTGAGTGTTCCCTTACACAGTGGTCAACCTGAATCTCTGTATTCACTTCTGGTACAATATAGCTTTTACTGCTTTTAATCTTTGTCACAGAAGGCACAACAAGGAGGATGTTCAGAGGCATACAATATGTTTTGTGAAGGCTTCTGAACCAAAAAGTAATGAAAAGCTACAGCTGCCAGTGATTACAAGGCACTAGCCTTAATGTCCCTGTTGGTCCTTTTGAATAGAATTCACCTCTCCTATAAATTGCCATCTGAAAGCTGACCAGGTAGTTTGACCTAAGTGTCTAAGATTGCCATAGAGTTAATAAAGAGGCCTGCACTGTCAGAGGTTCCCATCCTTCTCCATTGTCTAAAATAGAGTTTAATGATTTAAGATGAATGAAGTAAAATGAAGTGAGTGCTGTCCACCAGTCCTAGGTTCCTAAATCTGTTCATGCTACAATTCTCCCTGCTGATAGTAATCCAATCGTAGCATTTAACCACATCACTTATCGATTTATTAATCTTACCACATTGCTGTTGAGCCCAATCCATAAGGGCTCTCCATATTGCGCTGCCTGCAGCAACAGGAATATATTAGTGTAATAATCAAAAATGCTGGCAAGCTCTGAAGATTTCTCCTTGCAAGCTTTTCTGGCTTCTTCCCAATTAATTTTAGAAGGAATGATCAAATAGCTGCTGTTACCATAATGGATGAAATCAGAATCTGGAGCAGTTGTGGAATGAAACAGTTCAGGCTCTGTAGCAAAGAGGGAGAAATTTGAGAGGAAAGGGAGAAAACAGTGAAAATTACTAGCTACCTGAATAGCAGTATTACTTTTGAGTAACAGATGAATGAAACATGGCAGCACAAGCAGCAACTAAAAGCATTTATTATTTAAAATACAGGAGATATATTATAATGGTAACTCGGAATTATTTGTAACTATAGTGTAAATAGTGTACTTAGAGATTAGGGAGAAGCAGGGGACAAGCTCTCTGTATCTATAGACATACACCACCAGGTGAAATGATGTGAATACTGTTCACACAGTGATCCTCCTCCCAGAGCTCTCTAGGTTCCCCTCCCGCAGCACAGGTGAAATTCCTCCCTAGAACAGGCATGGTGCAGGATCCCCACACCACTTCAGTCTCAAAAAGAGGTGAATTTGATTCTAAGAAAAGTTTGTGGCTCTGCTACTGCTTCTTTCCCACATAGGATGAAATGAAAAAGGAAACTGTAGTTGTACCTTAAATGGTGTATGTGGACGTAGAAGACAAAGACCTAGAGCTACTGATGCAGACAGAAAAAAGGACAAAAACTACCTTTGTGTTCAGTCAGTGTTAAGAATGCCCTGGCAATTGTTTTTGCTAGAGATGCCCTCGTGCAGATTTCTGCCCTAGCATGGGACAGAGCAGTGAAGCATCTGGCCCAGCTGTGGCTTCTTCCTTGCTGCTCAGCAGTTTTGCTTGCTGCTCAGCAGTTCCCTGTTTCGATTCCTGTAAACTCTGCAGGAGTCTGTGCAAATGTGTCTCCCACCGGATGTGTCTCCCACCCTGATGATACACAAAGAAAACTAGAACTTTTGCCCTTCTGATTATTGCTTGTCTTGGGCTATAAAAACATTGCTTAGAGACTGACGAGCAAAATAAGCAGTTTAACTGACCTTAATTAACCCCCCAGTGGGGTGTGTGTGAGGGTTTTTTTAGTGGGGGTAGGTTAGGTCTGGGAGTGAGAATGGCAAAAGGTGCTTTTTAGCGCATTGCCTAGCTAGCTAAGATACCTACGGTGGAGGTCACTGACGGATTTGTCTTTATGCTTTGTATTTGTATTTGCAAAATAACCTGCTCTGTATACCTTTACCTGTGCTAGCTGGGTAAAGCACAGATGGCTAAACTTTTCTGTCAGTGGTGAAAGAAGGCATTTTGAAGTCTTCTTTGAAGTCTTCTAAACTGTTTTGGGCATTTGCCTCAGGATGAGGCAGGTGAATTCTGCTTTCAAATTGTCCACCATGTTCTGGCAAGTGATTTAAGCATAAATGTCTGCAGAGTAGGTGAAGTCTGTGTTGGTGGGTGTGCTGGTAGAGGAGAGGCCGTAAAGCCAAAACTTTTATAAGCCTTATCCCAGAGCAGGCTTTGTGTCTGCAATTCCTGAGCTGGGAAAGTAGCCCTGCTTCCCTCACCCCGGCTGCTACAGGCACAGCCGGGCAGTTACAACTGAGGACTCGCACAGCTGGATTGTCCGGTAAATGTCTTTCAATAAAGAAGGTGAAAAGTAAAACTTACTGCTGTCCATCTGGCAAATATAGCTTTTGTTATGCTGGCAGTCAGTGTTTTCCCAGTACCCTGCTTCATCTACAGATTTTTTTGTCATTGCAATACAGTCAGTCTAGAGAAAAATTAAAAAAAGAAAATTAGAGCAGATGAAGTGCAAAATGTCTGGCAAAATAATAGAAATAGGTTTGAGGAGACAATAGCTTTCTTTTCTAATTTTCATTTATTGTTTCTTGGAAAAGAAACTTATTGTATTATATATTTTAAACAAATATTCTTTCTTGGCAGGTTACTTCAAGTATTGTCAGTTCATTAAAATTTCTTGGAGTGCACCAAACCTATTTTTACAATGTAGTTTATGGTAATGTGTACTGAATTTGTTGAACTTTCATTTGGATCATGCTGTACAAGGAGAAACAATAAAACAAAGTAAAAATCCCAGCTAGTAATACTGAATATTTTCAGTAAAATCTAATAATTCTGATAATTCAAATTAATTCTAGTGGTAATTACAATACAGCACTCCTTTTCTGCAGTTCTAGACTTCTGCAAAAAAATGACAGTAAGTATAGACTCTAAACAGGCCTATTAGTCTCTGGGTACAGCTTTTAAAACTTGCTCTCTGAAATACTATTGTGTTGCCTTCTCTTTTAAGCCAGTGAAATAGAGGATCCTAGCTGAGAGAGGTCAGGCTGGTTATGCTAATCTTGAGCATGTTGTCTAGGTTATGAATTTTCTGATTTTTGTTTGTTTGTTTGTTTACCTGTATTGTAATATACTTCCAGTCAACTACTATGTATTCATCTCTAAATGGGAATCGCTTTGCCCACTTTGAATAATCAAAAAGGCTTCCATCTGTCCAAAGGTATGTACCCTCACTGTTAATATCATTCAGTCCAATCCATGTTTCATTGGCAATATCCTTTAGGTGGAAGGTGAAGAAGACTATTAGAAAAAAGAAAAAGATCAGAGAAAGATAGCTGAGGAATTGCCTTTCTTCAAATCCAGTGTAAACCAAGTTCCAAATAAGACAACCAATCAACTTTTAAAAATACTGCAAATATCAGGTTCAGTATTGTTAGACTAGGAGTTAATGGTGGAAGAGAAAAAATACAATGGGTAATTTAACAGAAGCCGTTTGATTTCATTAAAAAAAAAACAAAAAACAAAAAAAAAAACAAAAACGAAAAATAAAAGGTTTTTTAGATAAAAATTATAGAGACTTTTTGGAAATATAATAGAAATTAGGGGTAGAAGGAACTTCAAAAGAATTAATCTGTCTTCCCCAAGGTAGCATCAATTGCACAGATGTCATTTATGTTTGTTTACTTTCTGACTTGAGTAGCTGTGTCCATTTCATTACTATGAACTATTCTATTTATCCCACCTTCCAAAGCCATGGGGAACAGATTATTCTGTTCCCTCCACATTATGCTTTTGCCAAGACATGGGCAGTGTCGGAATATCTCACTCTAGTCTTCTCCCTGGATCAAGCAGTACCAGGTCTTTCTCCACAGGTTATGCTATTTGTGTCTGGAGGCTAGTTCAGCCTTGTCATTAGGTGGTGAAATGTGCTGCCTTTATACTTAGCAAAGGTTCAGATGTCATACCTTGAACTTGTTCATTGTGTATAGAGGCCAAATTTCCCCCTAATTCTATACAAGCACTTCTTGCAGAGTGCCAAGTCAGTCTCTCTTCTTCTCTGGATCCAAATATTTTATAACACTGCAGGGAGAGTAAAGGATTAGACAAACTTTCAAGTGTCAAAGAGTATTAAAACCTTTGGTTTTGATTAATTCAGTTCTAGTTCCTAGATGTAAAAAGCAGCAGATTGGGGATCTGCTGAAATGTGAATACTTTTGGCCAGCAAGAAGGAGACCCAGCTAATCACAGCGACGTGTGTGCAGTACTTACAAACATGTGGGCTGTCCAATGTTAGTGCTGGGCAATAGCGGGCAACTTCCAAAAGCTTCTGAGAAGTTAAGTAGGTATCCAAGGTGCATGGGTAGAGATTCTGGGTCACATTACTGAAAAGTAGAATTTTTGAGGGACTGATACTATTTTCTGGTTGGGAACATAATTTGGGGCAGGCATCTCTTAGGTCAAGTTCTTTCAATTATATACCACAGACTCTGTGCTAAAAGCTGAACTTGTGTGAGCACTTAGCATGAGCAGAATAGCATCAGGAAGTGCTCTTTTGTACTGTGTATCAGTATCCCATGGGAATTTTTTCCTTAATACCAGTGTAAAAAATTATTTTTGTGGTTATGTATGTTCTGAGGGACAGAAGACATGGTTTCTAACTGACATATGGTGCTTCTCCCTTTTTATGTCCTTCAAATGCATAAAATGTTCATTTGTTGTTTTGGGTTTTTTTAAGTCCCTATGACCAGATGTAGTTTTGCTTAACTTAGCAAAAAAACAATGCTTGCTTATTTTCTAAATTTCATTTGACATTTATTGCTGTTTGTGTTCCTCAGTTTAAGATGAATTGCTGTGATAGTCAATTACCTATAAAAGGTGTGACCTTTCATTTTTTCATTTCAGTGTTACTCAGAAAAAGGGGCTTACACTTACAGATAAGGATGATGGAACTGTATTTCTGTGCAGTAAGTATGTCTAAAATAAACAGAAAATTCTAGAAACTGAAAAAATATCTATGGCCAAAGGCACGTTGGCATTTCCAAAAATTATAACTTAAAACATTCAAATTCACCTTTTTTGAGATTTAGATACAAACATGAATATTGCCTACTTTGTTAATCAGAATACCACTTAATAAACTGGTGTATAAAGTGAGAGAATTTATATAGTGAGACAAAAGGGATAGTTGTTTTCTCTAACCTATAGCACGTTTGCTAAATATGGCTGAGATTTCTTACTGCACCTTATTGTTAAACAAAAGCCAAGTTTCAGGACATCCTCCCAGAGGTGGAAGTACAGTAGGAGCAAATCCTGAGTAATTTGAATTGTGCCTTTCACAGATGAAGCCATTTTTCACAGCACAGCTTATATCTTTCCAAAAGCCTGTAAATAAATGGAATGCAGAGAATCACTGTCTGGAACTCATACCACCATTACAGCAGTCAGCCACAGACACTACGCATAAAGTGCAAATGAAACCTTCCAGAAGCTGGTGAAATAGTTGCTATGTGCACCATTTGCCCTAATACACTCCTCCTTCCTCTGCGGTACATTCATCTCCTAATAATGACAATGTGGTTTTAAACCTCAGCATACTTGTTATGAGAAACTGACAGTATTGTTCAGCTGTCTATTTATGGGGTAGCTTCAAATTTAAATATGTAGCTAACATTTTAGCTTTTGATGCTAAATTTTCAACCAAATATTTCTTGTTGCTGATTTACTCACCAAAATCTTTTGACATTATCACACAGTTTTCATCATTATTCGCAAAGTTGGGTTCATTTGGAGCCCAGGCAACATAGTTCACTGGGGTCTTATCCAGCCAGCTGAAAGAAACAAGGGGACAGTGGCTGCCAGACATCTCCAACAGTCTTTTAGTTATAAGGTCTGTTTAGCTAAAGGGCTAAGCAAGTTATTAACAGTGACCAGAGGGCAAAGGCTCTACACATACTGGAGAGGACATATCCACAGCATTACTGCTGCTTCTCATCTCTTTAGCACTATGACATTCAAGTCCCACCAGTGTCCCATTTTGCCAGAGGTTGGATAAACAACATTGTACTCAAAGGGAAGGCTTCTTGTGGTCTAGACAAGACTGAAACCCCAAGGTCTCACTAGTGCATAGACTTCCCTTTCCTACAAAGAAAGGTGTCCTCCTGGAAACCCTCTACAAACAGATTTCTAAACCAGGTTCCCTACCAGCAATTTCAGAAAGCTGTTGGGTGAGATGTTGCTCACACTTCTTGCTTCCATCTCACATAACTTGAACCACTGGGATTAGTCTGATTAAACACTTGCATCCACATTTTATCAAAACTTCCTAGGCTTTCTCTGTAGCCATTGGTGATCTGGTCAGAGTTAATCTCATCCTAAAGCTGATGTCTAAAGCGGATTGGGTGAATCATAGAATCATAGAATCATCTTATGGTTAGGATTGGAAGGGACCTTAAAGATCATCTAGTTCCAACCCCCGTGCCATCAGCAGGGACATCTTCCACTAGAACAGGTCGCTCAAAGCCTCACCCAGCCTGGCCTTAAACACTTCCAGGGAGGGGGCATCCACAACTTCCTTGGGCAACCTGTTCCAGTGTCTCACCACCCTCACAGTGAAAAACTTCTTCCTAATATCTAATCTAAACCTGCCCTCTTTCAGCTTAAACCCATTTCCCCTTGTTTTTTCATTAACTGCCCTTATGAAAAGTCCTTCCCCAGCTTTCTTGTAGGCCCCTTCAGGTACTGGAAGGCTGTTATAAGATCTCCCCAGAGCCTTCTCTTCTCCAGGCTGAACAGCCCCATTAGCTGCTTCTCCTCACTACCTATGAAGGGTTGCTTGGGTGTTTAACTCAGTTCTTTCGGTGTAAGACTAAGTGAAATGAATCATAGCCATGAACTTCATTGGTTTTGCTACCCAGATTTGAGAGGAAAACACATTACTCTGGTTCATTACAGGAGAACTTAACAATTCTGATCTAAGACTTCACCTGGAAACTCTCCAGAGGTCAGTTACAGAACAGTTATTAACTTGTAAAATGAAAGCACACCCAAATGTTCCTATAGAGTGAGCTGAAATTACCATAATTTGTTGTCCATTAACAGTTTTCCTTTACTCACCTGAATTGCCGATCAAAGCTGACAACCAAGCCAATGAAATATGATTCCGTATTTTTGTAAACCTAAACCAAAAGTGATTAGCAATTAAACACTGATCAGTTCCTCAATGTTAAGTAAAAATCTGGAAGCCCATTAGCCATGCTTGTGATTTTTTTTCTTTTTTTTTTTTTTTTTCCTCCCCAGGATTTGAGCCTCCAGCAAAAACCTTGTAGGTTCAGACCCAGGTTTCAAGCAGGAAACAGGGATATGGGGAACAGCCTGGAATGAGGAACCCACTGGACAGGAAAGCAATAATCACTGTGCTAATCACTACATATATTAGAAGAGATAAGCAATCTGGGCCTGGACTATCCTTTGCTACACCTTCATCTTTAGCATTTGCATGCCTTTTTCCTCTGCCTACTAAAAGCAATAGTAATTTCTTTACAGGTCCTGAACAAATATATTGTTATATAAATAAGTAATGTAGGACAATAGTTCAGGACTCTACCCTAGCTAAATAGGTAGACTGTTCTCTTTATTTTATCAGCTGCTCTGCTTCAGAATTCAATTATACTTAATAGACTCAGTCCTTACATATTGCCATAGAAATTGTCTTTTGCTTTCATTCTCAATGACAACAAGATCTGCAAAGTTCTTCTGACAAATTCTCCGTGCTTCCTCCATATGGACATGTTCTTTGCTGAAGTAGTACTGCTTATTTTCATATATAAGCCATCCATCGCTAGACACTTGATATTCTGAAAGACAAAGCACTTATATCCGGTCTGTACAAACACTGAAAATTTCACAGCAAATTTTTGTTTGAAAGAGGAAAAAATCCTACCAAGTTTGTATTGTGGTTCAGGTTTTAACAGTGTACCTGTAAAATAAAAGATCATCATGAGTGACATTCCAAATACAAAAAAAAAAAAAAAAAAAAAAAAAAAATTAAAAAAATTCCAGAGATACTTGCCTTGTATAGTTGCAAATGCTTTGTATAATAGAGGGGGAAAAAAAATGAAACTATGATTTATCTAATGCATTTTCAAGATTTTAGAGCACATATCACTGGATTAAATTTAAAAATATGTATAATTTAGAAATATTTATCTACTGAAAAATACATATCTTTAAAGCATACATACATATCTCCAAAAACACTGTATTAAACCATCCAGGATGTGCAGTAAAGACTTTGTAGATGTAACTTAGATCAGTTTTAAAATTTATTTAGTATTTTTCCTTGGCATGTTTTGTTTTGGTTTTTTTTTAACATTAATGGGACTAGAGTCAAACAACACAATCCAGGCAATATACCCAGTTCTCAGACTTACATACATAATAGTAAACTATTCAGAAGTACTGAAATTTAAAGGCTGGTATTTTGTTAGTTCCACACATCATTTCCAGTGTCTGGAGTCATTTCCCCTATCCTGATGTCTTGGCTTTCACTAGGAAATTCTGTTTTTAAGAGAGTCCTGGAGAGAGCCAAGAAATATCTAGAGAGACAGTAGATACCGAACCCCAGTTTCTGATTACAGGATGGACCAGGAGAAAGCAATTAACCCACTGCTATTCCCAGAGCCAGCTACAGCCCCTCAAAGGTAGTTCTGCTTTCATTTGGATGCCTGTTACTTTGTTCTTCACAAGGACTACTGATTCTGTTATTAGTTTTCTCCATTTATTCTGTCATGTGATGGAGAGGAACACATTATTAAAGAAATTACATTAACAGTTTAGATGAGAGATAAGCAAACAAATGAAAAAGCAATTTAAATTTTTCTGTTGGGAACTTTCAGATATTTTCTTCTTAAGCAGTTTACCCAGAATAGAACTAAAATTATTCAAATATCTTCATAATGAATTTGCATACTTCACTTAATTTTGATTTTTTTTTTCAGTCTAACATAAATATAATGTTCCTTGCATTTCAAAAAAAATGAAGTATCTTAAGTACACTAAGTGAATCAACAGCTGAGCATCTCTCCTCTCACAGTGAACACAATCTAATCTAGATTCTCAATAACCTTTTTTTTTTTTTTTTTTTTACTTCAGGAAGGTCATCAAGAATCAAGCTAAGCACACCAGAAAGGGTTACACAGGTGTACTGCTTCAAGCTGGTATACAGAAGTCAGTGTTTTGATAGTGCATTTATATGACTAGTGTATTCACAAGGTAACAGTGATTCTTCCTTTTCAGTTAAGCAATTTTTCAATGGTAGTATGGTGCCTTACTCGCTGTTTAAGAGTAACAGTTTGTTGGCAGAGTCATCAAATATTAAATATACTCAGTGCTTTTTATATAACTGTTTCTCCCTTCCCCACCCTATTGTGCCTCCTACTAGTTTCCTGTGTGCATCCAACTTTCTTTTCGTTTCAAGAAGCTTTTAAGAAGCTCCTGCTCTGTGGAGATCCATACAAGTACTCAGTTTACAATCAGAAAGCAGGGATGTAAATGTAGGACCAAATAAGCAAAACAAGTTCTTTCATTATTGGTTGTCACTTGGGGTCCTCAGCCCCCAAAGCCCCATTTTTGCACTAGCAGGCACCCCAACGTGCATCTATCAGGTCCATTGCTGGCCCTGGCACCAGGGGCAGGAGCCGGCATTAGAGCTTTGCTTCCCAGGCAAAGCTGCTGGATGCAGGAGTCCTTCTAGGCCACACCAGCCTCTACTTTTCATCTCTTTTTCAGAATTGACAGTTTCTATAGCAACTAATCTCTCTCTTTGGTTCCCATTACTCATTTCACAGTGGGAAACAAAGCTTTCTCCGACTTACACAGGGAACTCCAGTGTCCTGCATCTTTGGCTGTACTGGGTAAGCCTGAAGTAGATAGAGATACGGGGAGGAGATAAAAGGAGAGGGGATAAGTACCTTTGCCTTGCAAATTTACTCAGCCCATGGCAGAAAGAGATAAAGCCAGAGATAAAGTAATAGGGGCATCTTTAACTTCCTGCATCTGAGTACAATTGAAATATCTCGATTCATTCCTCTTGCTTTATGTGTTGCCTTCATTGCAACTGGATTTAAAATTAGCAGTTCCCCGTTTCTTTCTTCTTTTCAATCTACAATTTGTTTTTGAGCTTGGGTTTATCACTCCAATTAAATGGGGAATTAATCATACCTTTTTTTGTTTCACAAATCCAATTAAGTAAATGTTCACAATGCAAGTCGTTCCAACGCATTTGAGGTGATCTGTTAAACATAACACAATGTTCAAGTTTTTCATGGTTGTTGGGTTCACCTTCATCCCAGTTCTCATAAATTACCTGTGTTGGAAATACATCTCAATTACCGTGTGATTTGAGCTGAGATTGCCATTGTAACACTATTTCAGAGTCTCATCATCTCAAGTACTTAGTTTATGGGATCCGTAGGAGTTCAGGTAGGTCTGAGAGGGCTGTGAAAGTCACGCTGATCAGCTCACTTTCCCCATCACTCCCCAGAGATGGTATAAAGATTACAGGCTACAGAAAAGCATGTATCTGATAGAGGAAAAACTGAGGGGCAGAGGGAGTCGTGTTTATCTCGCTTTGTGAAAGATGGCAACTTGACTTCTCTGTACTGACAAACAGCGGTGCCCAGTCTGGGATGCTGTGAAGGTCTAAGAGCACAGACTGTGGGAGACAGGATATAACACAGTACCAGGGATGAAAAAAAGGCAATCTTGTACTTCCATTAGTGTGTTAAGACAGTGCAACCACTGAGCACTGCAGCCACTCAGCTGATGGTGAAAGGGCTGCCATGCACCTGCTGAAGGTTTAAAGAGGTTGGAAAAAAGGCATAAAAAATGGAAATCTCTGTATTTCAAATGACAGAAATTCAAATAATATCCAGTAAATAAGTACTCACAGGGGAACCATCAATCCAGGTGAATCCTTCATCAGGATTCAAGAGAAACAAGCCGATCCAGAAAGCCTGATTGTGCAGTCCTTTATCCCTAAAATAAATCAAACGATATTGATACATGACTTTAGAAAGAGGGGCCATGATATAAATGCTGGGAAGCATGGAAACGTGCTGCTTTCTATCACATCTGAATTGGGAGCTACTCCTTCACTGTTGGTCCATAGCCAGGCTTACTCCCTGTACGCTTTTTCAAGGGATTTGAGAGTGCTCTGTGTTGGGACAAGACTCATCACATTTGAATATAAGTTAAAGGGCAAGTAATGTCGCACAGAGCTAGCTCAGGCTCCCATCCTGATGGCTGCAACACAGCTCTTGGCTGTAGCAGGAATTCCTGGAAAGAGGTTTTAGCAAAAGTAAACCATAAATAGAGAGCTATAATATGATTTAACTAATGAATAATAGTGAAAATTGTTTTTCAACTGCTTTATTTTGTTTCTTGGCACTTCCTGTGTAGTTTCTTTAATAGTACATGTTATTGTCATACCTATGGATCAGATAAAATAGTCCTATTTCATCCACTATATAACATGAAGATTTCCCTCCACAAAGATTTAATAGTCTAAAGCAGCAAGACTTAATAGACAACTAAAACCACATTCAGCTTCTCACAATATTGAAAAACAGTAAAATGAAGAAGGGTGAGATTATGAAACATTTTCTATATGGCAGTTTTAAATTTATTTGAGAAATTTAAACTAGATTCCCCACTACATGAAACAGTTTCGGTTGAATAGCTGTATACTATATGTCATTGAGCTGTCTTGATATTAGAGAATATAATTAAAATATAGTGGTCTTATTTTGGAGGAAAATAAAGGCATAATTTCTACATTGCAGGCAAGACATGGCATCTACAGTGCTTGCATAAATTAATTAAAATTAATTCCTGTTTTATTTGAGAAGTCTTTAGTTTACAGTCAGAGTATTTCCACACTAAGTCCGTGCATTTTGGTTTACATTACACATTAACTCAAGGGGTTTTTTGAATGTTTTAATTAAAATATGAATTACAGCCAGTTAAAAAAGGCACTGTTAGAGATGAACATTTTATTGTCTTCCTTTTGGGGAGTTGATCAGATCTGGAGAATAGCCTTGATGAAAACCTGTGATGAAAATTTCAAAATTATCACATCCATTTTGAAATATTAAAGGTTTTTTTTTTAAAGTAATGCTTCAGAATTATATTTCCAAATGAAAATTTTAAATTTTAATTTAAATTTTATTGGGGTCTTTTTCACTCTTTTATTTTATTCACACTTGCCCAGCTCCAAATATATTTTAAGGAATTCTTATTTAATGTGACATGAACATGAAAAAGAATCGTTGTGCAAGTACTCACGATGCTAATTGCCATATTAAAATTTGTTCTTCTTTTGTATTGATTGTGATCAGATTTCCTCCTATTTCTCTACAGAATTCTTCAGCCTCAAACCAAGACTTCTTTTGGTTTCCTTCTCTCACAAAAAACTATTGAAAAAGAAAAGTAAAAATAAATTACTGAATGTTCAAAGTTTGACATAGAATAATATATAATTGTCTATGTAATTAAATCAGTATCACTTTAGCAGTCCTTTCCTCTTCAATGAAATTACATTACATCTGTCAAGGCCTGTAATATTAAACATTAGCAATGTAAAGTGTGTGCATTTTTTGCTTAGCATCTTATATTTTAAAATGAGGCAGGAGTAGCACGAAACTCTGAGAAGAACAAAAGGTATCACAAAGTACAGACAAGAAAAAAGTAATTTATAACTTAATTGGAATTTTGACCACTCAAAGAAAGATGGAATAGCTCAGTCAGTATTTTGCAGTAGAAACCAGGAGATTTTTGAGAAATGGAAGGTGGAGGGAAAATCAACAGGTTGGAATAAAAAAGACTGCAAAACAGCTTTCTCTGTGCTGACCCTGGCCAAGGAGGCGTGTTTTGGATGGTGGTGCAAGCATATAAGTAACACCACTTTCTACCATGAAGTACGCACACTCTTGAAGTAAGGAGCTGGATGCTCGACATTTTGGGGAAAGGATAATCAACAATTTGGTAACTGTCAGAACCTATAATGTTAGAAACAATAATTGAGTGTGACATAGAAATTGAGATCCTTATAAATAGAGGGCTAAAGTAATCTCAGACCTTCCAACAGGCAGAGAGTCTCAAGAGAGAAAGTGAGAGGATACTTCTGTAAAGACCTGGAAGAGCAATGTTACATATTTATTTTTCCTTGATCTATTTTGCTTTTTCTTTACTTTTTTATCTCTTCAAAAAGGGGACTTTTTAAGGCATTTTTAACTAAATCAAGAGAATGCACAAAACCTTTACTTGCTTAAGTAAATCCTGGACCTAAAAGTATCACTAAAAGTAACAAATGCTGTGTGAGAAAAGGTTGGTAGAGGGCCAGGTTTCCGTAAATTTTCTCTTAGAAACATTGTCTTACCCAAGTGACACTACCAGCTCTTGACATGCAATACTATGTTTTTCTAGATTCCCAAATTCCAGGAAGTAAATAAATTATGTGAGGTTCTCAGCTGGCATTTAAATAAAATAAAGCATATTTCTAGCATTCTATTTTCACGATTTCAGGTTTTTCGTTGTTGACTTTCATTATATTTAATGGATTTGTTTCGTATATTTTTACACTCAAATATCATGGAGAAGATCACTCTCAAAATATAACCCAGCACTTGGGTCCCTGAGTACTGTGATGACCAGGGCACCGACACATGGGCCTTCCCATATTCAGACTCACAAGGAAGGTAAACACACACTTACTTTGAAGCAGGAATCTGCCTGGGAGGCTCCATCCCATCCTTCAGCACAAGTGGCCATGGGGACCTGTACTGGAGGAGCAGGAGGTGGCACACCTGCTGCCTGCTGTTTGCAAAGAAAACTTGCTGTCTTCTCACAGCTGACAACATCCCATAAGCCAGCTGCAATTCCAGTTCCCATGGCAACACAGCCTTGCTCTTTTCCTTTGTGATATGCAAAACAAATGTGTAAAACGAAAATCTTAATTACTCTCTAACAAATGAGAACTTTGCTTTTATTCATAGAAAATTATGAAAAAGAGGATGCAGATTAGGTACATTAAAAACCATCCTCGATATAAAATTATTTTTAATATCTCCTGCCATAGGATGTTTGATAGGCCAATGAGTCTTCCAAACACACCTTTGCCAAAAACAGAGATTTGCAACTTTTAAATACAAATTGTCTTTATCATAGAATTATAGAATCATTTAGGTTGGAGAGGCCCTTTAAGATTGTTGAGTCCAACCACAAACCTAACACTGCCACGTCCCACTAAACCATGTCCCTAAGCACCACATCTACACATCTTTTAAATAACTCCAGGGATGGTGACTCCATCACTTCCCTGGGTAGCCTGTTTTGATGCTTGACAAACATTTTGGTGAAGAAATTTTTCCAAATGTCCAATCTAAATCTCCCTAGGTTCAACTTGAGGCCATTTCCTCTTGTCCTATCACTTGTTACTTGGGAGAAGAGACTGACACCCACCTCACTACAACCTCCTTTCAGGTAGTTGTAGAGAGCAATAAGGTCTCCCCTCAGCCTCCTTTTTTCCAGGTTAAACAACCCCAGCTCCCATATCTGTTCCACATAAGACTTGCACTCTAGACCCCGACCAGCTTAATTGCCCTTCTTCGGACCTGCTCCAGCACCTTAATGTCTTTAACGTAGTGAGGGTCCCAAAACTCAATGCAGTACTCGAGGTGCAGACTCACCAGTGCCAAGTGCAGAGGGACAATCACTTCCCTACTCCTGCTGGCCACACTGATTCTGATACAGGCCAGGATGTTATTGGCCTTCTTGGCCACCTGGGCACACTGCTGGCTCATGTTCAGCCGGCTGTCAACCAACACCCCCAGGTCCTTTTCTGCCAGGCAGCTTTCCAGCCTTTCTTCCCCAAGACTCTAGCGTTGCATGGGCTTGTTTTGAGCCAAGTGCAAGACCCAGCACTTGGTCTTGTTGAACCTCATACAATTGGCTTTGGCCCATCAATCCATACTGTCCAGATTCCTCTGCAGAACCTTCCTACCTTCTGGCAGATCAACACTCCCACCCAGCTTGGTATCATCTGCAACTTACTGAGGGTACACACAATTCCCTCCATCTAGATCATTGATAAAGATATTAGACAAAGCTGGCCCCAGTACCAAACCCTGGAGAACACCACTTGTACCTTATCAACATTCTCCTCATAATAAATCCCACACTGAAACCAAAACACAGTGCTTTCTAGCTACTAAGAAGAAAATTAACTCTATCCAAACAAAAACCAGGACAACTGGCAACTACTTTGGCATTCTCAATATCCAGATAATTCATTTTCAAGAAGGCTGATACTGAGTATAACCAGTTTGTTTTGTGAAGACAAGAGGTCCCATACTAATCTCTTTTGTTAAAATGTGAAGCAGCTGGACTTTTGCTGCTCATTTCTCACTTACGCACCTTGTGGATCAAAAAACTCTGTCCAAAATAATTTTTCTCAGTCTGATGAGTTGTTATTTACTGGTGTTAAAAAACTGAAAAAGTTCAAACATGGACCTTGTTAACAGCATTGCCTTCAGTCTAGCCCATTAAAAATCTGTTTCTGTATGTTTGCAGGAGAATGACTTACACAACACCTGACACTCAGCTGTGACTGTGTTTGTTATACTGGTGCCAAACAGAAGGTCTGATGGTGTTGGTCACCTACAGCTACAAGCACAAAATAAAGTGCCTACTGTAATTTCTAACACCAGGGAATGAAAAGCAGAAACCTGCATGAATACCTGCTGCACTCCAATCACAAGGGTTGAGCGCGCACAGAGCTTACCTGGCATCACTGTGTTCCAGTGTGTGAAGAGAGGAGTTTCACCACTGGTCCACCTGAAACTCCCTCGTTCTTCTGTGTCAGACAGACCAATCCAGAAAGATTTTTCAGACCTTAGCCCCGTCAGACTAGTCAGAAAGGCTTGCTCATTTCTGAAGTGGAAAACAGTATTTATTCAGAATGTATTACCTTGCAATATTAATCTAAGTGGTACAAACAGAGGTATCACTGTCATGCTAGCATGACCCCATGACACTTCCTCAGTGAAGTTCAGGCAAAACCTGAGCAAGCTTTTAAGTGTGGTCAAAAGAATTTGGTGAGGGACAACTTTCTCCTTTCAGCTGAAGGCATCTTCTCTCCTTTCCACTGAGTTCTGTGAAATGTTGCAAATCACTGCTCACTTGGGCTTCTAGTTGTAGTTTATTATTTTCCTTGAGGTGCCTGAAACAGACCACCAAGTTGGGACTAAACTGTCAGCTTTTCTATCCATCACCTCTGAAGGCAGTCCTGTTCTTCAGAGGCCATGAAACCTGCAAAGCCTGACTGAGATGTGAGTAGGTTGGAGATGATACATTCTGGCTGTGGTGAGGCAGGTCCTGGGAAAGATTTCCCAAATTTTTTCAGAATTTGGCTTAGAAGGTAGTTCAGGAAAATATTTTTTGTTGAAGCTTTCCTATCATTATGAGATAACACTCATCAGTAAATAGATGAAAATTATAGTAACTACTTTCCAACAGAAAAAAACTCAAGAATAACATAAAAGCTGCTTTAATTAGTAATTAGAAGTTATGAGAAAACTGTTTAAGGCAAGAATCCCCAAAATTTGAAAACTGTTTTAATATATTAACTAGAAAGCCCTAAAACATTGAGGTGTTTTGTTTTTTGTTGTTTTGGTTTTCTTTTCCTGCATGGATCATTTTATTTGGCTTACTACTACAAATTTTTTGAAAACTGCTGATAAAACACTTTGAAGATTTCAAAAATTGAACAAGTTTTGCAAGTTTCTCCATCAGAAGCACTGATTTTTAAATATTAAAACAGGGTATTTTCCTACCTGCTTTCCACCGTAGCTAGATAAGCTTTGCTCTGTTCACATGTCTTATTTGCTTCTGAGAATGTCAAAAGTGCAGAGCCCACCAAATAACAGTGAAAACCATATCTTTTCCAACCCTGTGACAAACATAATGTCCTTAATGGGAAGCTGAAAGATACTTCTATACAGAAAATAACTCTGTTCTTTTGTCTATAAATATTCAATGTTAAATTTGTTGCAACTAAGCTTTAAAAACAAGGTGAGACTGGGACAATCCATTAATAAACAAAGCTGTTTTATTGTTGCTGTTTGCTACTGCAGAAGGCCTCTTTTATTTAAAAGATGGTATTAAGAGCTTAGTTGTAATCTCTTTTATGTATACAGGATTTTTCAAAGCAAATTGTGACTGTGCTATTTGCTGTTGCTGTCCAGGGCTCTGTAAATCTGGGATTATGCAAACTGCACTGTAAAGAGCCTGTGATTCACTCAAGGGGAAGCTGCAGCTCCAGCTTTTCAGAGCTGCAGGATCTGACATAATGAAATACAAAAATATTGCAATATGGAAATGAACTCATATACAAGCACAGCTCCCCAAACTGCCCCTGCCATCCCTAAGTGGAATGGGTGAGGAGATTTTCTGAGCCAAGAAGAATCCAGACCGTGCTTTTTTGTGGGGAGGGTAGAAAGAAGGAATATCAGTAAAACATCTCTTCTTCTTCCTGCTCTAAGATAGATCTATGTTTACCAATATAGATATAACAATTTTCTGAAAATGTCAATTCTGGAAAAAATACTTGTTTAGAAAAAAAAACCAAACCCAAAACAACATGCTATCACTCAAAGGCTAACTAACTAGTCCATTGGTAGGAACATGATACAGAGAAGCTGATCCTTTTCTGTTTTGAAATTAGTTTCTTTCTATTATCTTTACTATAGAGTAAGGACTTTATAAAGTCTTTAAATAGACAGCAGATCTGAGGGAAGAGACAAAGTTCCTTTTGGTAATTTTGCATATATTGTTAGGCTAAGAGCACAGAGAATAGTGGTGAAATTACGATTTAAAAGATGTACGTAATTTTGTCACAGTGTGGCTCATCTGGGAGTGGAGGAAAAGGCAGTGTTCATGTCAATGAATCTTGGCTTTCTTGAGTACTTCAGAGAAAAATGAAAAATGCACCTATAAGTAAAATGTTAGTAGAAAAACACTACGTTTCTTCAAGACTAGATTTTCTAGAAGATACAAAGACTTTAAAAGAAGCAAGAACTAATAAATTAATTCCTCTTTACTTTTCCCAAAATAACTAATTAATGAAAGAGTATTTACTTTCTGGCAGCCTGGGTCCTCGATTTTCTCTTTTTCAGAGTATCGTGATGAAGGCTTTTTTTTACAGATGTAACCAAGTTGCTTATCACAAACATCATTTGCCCAGTAGCCATCCTACAATAGCAGGAAGAAGAAACAAATGTAAAGGAAAAAGTAATCATAAACATAAGAAAACTAGTGTTCCCCTCTCACTTCACTACAAGGCCCACTGGAATATGTTACCTAGAAAGGCTATAGGGTCATTGCTGGAGATTTATTTTTTAAGAAAAAAATAGGCATGTCTGTCAAGATTGGTTTAAGATCCATTTGATGCTGGTTTGAGATGACATCTCAAATAAATGACATCTTGAAGTGTCAGCATTACTTGCTATCATAGCTATCTGTTTCGTGAGAAGGTTTGTAAAGATACATCTTACCTGGGGTTAATGGGTCTGCATTTAGAGCAGTATTATATCACTACATTTCTGGCAAAAAGCTCAATGAAGCTGAAATAATGCACATCTGAGTGTGTTGCAGTAAATCTAACTTGGATCCATTAAGGAGAAGACTTCAAATGAATGATTTATTTTTAAAAATAAATTATGTAAAAAATAAAATATAAATAGAAGATTTTTTTTCTCCATAAAATCTGGTTTTGGATCAATTCTATTGATGCCTAATACTGGCAAATGTCAATATTGTTCTATAATATAACAGTTCTTTCAATAACAGCATTTCTTTCATAACAGTATTTTCAATTAGAAATTTAAAACTCATGACACTTTTTGTGAGTATGTGTGTGCATGCACATGCATGTAAATGTGTCCAAAAATCCAAACAACCATGTATTGCAAGAAAATAAAGTGCGTGAGTCAATCAGTCAGAAATACTATAGGATTTTAGATATTTGACAGGTAGATGTAAAAGCTCTCTTCATGTCACAGCTGAAGACACATGCCCTAGTGCCAGGTCTCCATGTCTCAATGTCATGTCTCAATGAAGTGACACTGAGGGACACAACAGTCTATTGGATTGGAAAATTAATTATGCAAATAGCATCTATGATAACCACATAATGTATTAACTAGTTCATCCCCACTCTTCTCCCAAAACTATAACTTTTTTCATTGCTGCAGCATTAGAATGAATCTAATGTAAAAATTCTGGATCAGACTTTTCACCAGATAAGAAATTTCACAGAATCACAGAATGTTGGGGATTGGAAGGGACCTCGAAAGATCATCTAGTCCAATCCCCCTGCCGGAGCAGGATCACCTAGAGTAGGTCACACAGGAATGCGTCCAGGCAGGTTTTGAATGTCTCCAGAGAAGGAAACTCCACAACCTCTCAGGGCAGCCTGTTCCAGTGGCCTGTCGCTCTCACAGTGAAAAAGTTTTTCCTTATGTTTATATGGAATCTCCTACACTCCAGCTTCACAGAATCACAGAATCACAGAA